GCTCCACCTGAAAGCCTTAAGGCTCACTCCACCAGAGCCATGGCTTCATCTACAGCCCTACTACGTGGTATTGATGTGCCTGACATCTGTAGGACAGCCACTTGGTCTACTGTCTCATTCTATCTTGCCTCCACCATTTCGTTGGCCGCCAACCTTCAGCATAAAACTCCACCTGAAGGCCTTCAGGCTCACTCCACCAGAGCCATGGCTTCATCTACAGCCCTACTACGTGGTATTGATGTGCCTGACATCTGTAGGACAGCCACTTGGTCTAATGTCTCATTTTTCATCACTCACTACAGACTAGACCTGAGGGCTAAGAGAGAGACATGTTTCGGGAAAGCAGTCTTGACGTCCGTCCTCCAGTGACGACCCTCCTTCCGGTAAGTGAGCTTGCTAGTCACCCCTATGTGTGCATTCACAGCGGCCACACTGAAGAAAGATAGGTTACTTACCTGTAACCATGGTTCTTCAAGTGGACGTCTGTGAATTCACACAATCCCACCCAGCCTCCCCACTATCCATCACTGGTTAGGTCTCCTACATACTCAGGCTATTGTGGCGGATAAATGGAACTGAGGCTTTGGCGGGCAGAGCATGCGCAGTACAGGCAACCTAAAACTTTGTTACTTTTCTATTAAAAACTTGAGAAGATTCTGAGAGGTCCAGCACAGGCACTGATTTTACCCTTTTGTGTGAATTCACAGACGTCCACTTGAAGAACCATGGTTACAGGTAAGTAACCTGTCTTTTTTTTGGATTGGATTCTTTGGCACAAAGCTAGCAGCATCCCTATGCTCCATAGACTATAACAAGCTTCCCTCCATCCCTCTCTCCCTCCCTCCCTCTCTGTCTCTGACATATTTCCAGAAGAATACCTTCAGAATGTTCCAAGCCTGAAAAAGCTTCTGATGAAAGCCCTGACTCTTTTTATTGATGCTGCAGAAAGTTATTCCAAGGTAAAATTGGACTGAGGATGGGGCTGAGTGTAGATTAAAAGGTGAACTCTAGAGACCAAAAATGTTGTTTCATGGGTTGCATATGTAACTATGTTCTTTGCCTTCATAGTTGCGGCATATGATTTATATATGCTGCACTTCACTGCTACATAAAATACAGTGGTGCCTCGCACAGCGAGGTTAATCCGTTCAACGGAAACATCGCTCAACGGAAAGTAAAAAGCCATTGGAACACATTAAACACATTGTTGTGCGGATTCGTTGCTCTACGGAGCGACCGTTGCGCGAAGCACCACTGTATGTCACTAACAAGCGTATCAATGTGATGTAGTGTATAGAGAGATAGTCTAGCGCTCTGTTTTAATTTTCTCCCACCTTTCCATTCCTGTCTTAAATCTCCAAATCAAACTTCTCTCCGTGGCAGCTCAAATTCTGTGCCAAATGTATTGATTTGCCCTGTTGGAATTAAGCTTCCAGAGTAGACACCAACTTTTCCAGCCTCACCCCATCCCCATTTTCTTTTACACTGCCTGCCTTCTTTTATGTCCTGCCCTACTTAAATCTTATTTATGTGCATATTCCATTGTTGCATTCTTATGTTTCTTTTTAAAAATAAACGATGACTTCTTATTCCATAGCTCTTATTAAATGCCCATCTGGATGCTGAATGAAACATTCTTTAAGAAGTGTTAATTGGATGCCTGTGCACAATATATTTATACACACAGTATATACATATACAGTATATAAGGATATGTGTTAACATTTTATCTTTGCTCTCATTCTCATTCTGTTCTCTCTCTGGCTGTATGATGAGCAAGCCTTTAGTTCCCTTCCATAGTGAGGACAGCTTGGAGTAGTGTTTGAGCAGGCAACATGCCTCTGGTTTGTTGCTGTTTGGACTTTGCAGAGAAATCACACTAATATTACCAAGACTCAGGGACCATTACAACTCTGATGTCTTCAGACTGACTTCTGCGTAGAAAGAGACAGAAGGTGAAGGTGCTGAACCAATTTCTTTTTATGTATCTATCGACTGTACTTTCACTATATCCTTCCTTTAGGACTTCTGTGTGCACCAGTCTTTACGCTGCAAGAGGCTGACAAAGCTGATTACCTTGCAAATCCACTTCCTAAACACCAACAACAGCACTAAATTGATCAACCTAAGCAGGAAAAGCTTGCTGGACTGTATCATGTCCTTACCCAGATTCTACCAGGTGAGTACGACTTACACTGTCTTAGTTTATGTGTAATGGTTTGTGGCCATTATTGATGTTCAGCACTTATCTTTGAAATTATCCTTGACATGTTGATTGAGAGACACTTCCTATCTTTTTCTGAGTACCTAATTGTAGCGGGCCACTCTCAAGCCTCTACCCATCCAGGCCTGTAAGAGTGCCCACTACTTCTCTTCAAAAACTTGCTGCCACCAACCTATCCTTTAAATCAAAAGGACAAGGGTTTCTTTTCAAAACAAATAAAGTATTTATTGATTACAAGAAATAAAAGGAGTAAATCACAGGTATAAAATCAATTATTCAATCACTGTTTATAAGACACTAGCTCACACAGACTTTTCCCTCACTGACAGGCTCTTTCTCACT